CCCTCCCTCACCCGCCCTATTTCTTTCATCTGTTCCCTTATCCATCCCTAATCCAATCTCCGCCTGTTTTTCTCCTATGTCGTTGTCTTCCCTGTCTGACCATATTATCATTTGTGTGGCGTTTCCCTCGTCTCTTAGGATCTGGCTATTGTGCATCTGTGTGAGTGTTTTTTATGTCAGTTGTCTGTTCGTGTTGTTGGTGATGTGGTGGGTGATATTGTGGGTGATGTTGTGGGTGATGTGGTGGGTGATGCGGTGGGTGATGTGGCGGGTAATGTTAAGGGTGATGTTGTGGGTAATGTTAAGGGTGATGTGGAGGGTGATATTGTGGGTGATGTTGGTGGTGATGTGGTGGGTGATATTGTGGGTGATGTTGTGGGTGATGTGGTGGGTGATGCGGTGGGTGATGTGGCGGGTAATGTTAAGGGTGATGTTGTGGGTAATGTTAAGGGTGATGTGGAGGGTGATATTGTGGGTGATGTTGGTGGTGATGTGGTGGGTGATATTGTGGGTGATGTTATGGGTGATGTGGTGGGTGATGTTGTGGGTGATGTTATGGGTGATGTGATGGGTGATGTTGTGGGTGATGTTGTGGATGATGTTGTGGGTGATGTTGTGGGTAATGTTGTGGGTAATGTTAAGGGTGATGTTGTGGGTGATGTGGTGGGTGATGTTGTGGGTGATGTTATGGGTGATGTGGTGGGTGATGTTATGGGTGATGTTGTGGGTGATGTTGTGGGTGATGTTAAGGGTGATGTTATGGGTGATGTGGTGGGTGATATTGTGGGTGATGTGGTGGGTGATGTTGTGGGTGATGTTAAGGGTGATGTTGTGGGTAATGTTGAGGGTGATGTTAAGGGTGATGTTGTGGGTGATGTTGTGGGTAATGTTAAATGATGTTAAGGGTGATGTGGTGGGTGATGTTGTGGGTGATGTTAAGGGTGATGTTAAGGGTGATGTTGTGGGTGATGTGGTGGGTGATGTGGTGGGTGATGTTATGGGTAATGTTAAGGGTGATGTTGTGGGTGATGTTAGGGGTGATGTGGTGGGTGATTTTGTTGATAATGTTAAGGGTGATGTTGTGGGCGATGTGGTGGGTGACATTGTGGGTGATGTGGTGGGTGATGTTAAGGGTGATGTGGTGGGTGATGTTGTGGGTGATGTTGTGGGTGATGTTGTGGGTGATGTTAAGGGTGATGTGGTGGATGATGTGGTGGGTGATGTGGTGGGTGATGTTGTGGGTAATGTTATGGGGGATGTTGTGGGTAATGCGGTGGGTGATGTTATTGGTGATGTGATGGGTGATGTTATGGGTGATGCGGTGGGTGATGTTATGGGTGATGTTGTGGTTGATGTCAAGGATGATGTTGTTGGTGATGATATGGAATTATTTTAAGGGTTATCTTATGGGTGATATTATAGTTGATGATATGGATGGTTTTAATGGCGATGTCATGGGTGATATTGTTGGTGATGTTTAGGGTGGGGTTAAGGGGGGTGTTATGGATGATTTAAAGGATGATATTGTGGGTGATGTTGTGGACGATGTTCAGTGTGATGTGGTGGGTGATGTTAAAGGTGATGTTAAGGGTGATGATATGGATGATTTTTAGGGTGATGTCATTGGTGATATTCTGAGTGATGTTAAGGGTGATGTTACGGGGGATGTTATGGGTGCTGTTATGGGTGCTGTTAAAATGATGTTTTTGGTGATGTTACGGGTGACATTATGGGTGATGTTGTAGGTGGTGTTTTAGTTAATGTTTTGGGTGATGTTATGGCTGCTGCTGTGGGTGGTGTTAAGGGTGATGTTAGAAAGGGCGATGTTGAGTGTGATGCAAAGGAGAATGTTATGGCTGTTGTTATAGGTGAAGTTAAGGGTGTTGTTATGTGTGATGTTGTGGTTGATGATGAAGATGATGTTTAGAGTGATGTTATGGTAAATATTAAAGGATGATGTTGCTGGTGTTGGTCTAGGCTCGATTCTGTTCTTTTCGTTGTTGTCATAATCTTTTTAACTATAGGGTAATAATACGGAGACCGATCATGGTATTTGTGCACGTTTGTGTGATTGTTCGTATGTGCGTGTGAGCGCATGTGTATGTATGTGTCTGTGTGTGTGTGTGTGTGTTTGTGTGTGTGTGTGTG